CTTGCCAGGGAAGCGCTTATTCCACTGAGCCATCTCCCTGGCCCCATAAAGGATATTTAGATGAATTACTGAGAATTGAAAGTTGATGGAAAGACCTCTTTATATATTTCAGAGTTGTAAATTTGCATAATATTTCTGAGGCAAATTTTGCAGTAAGCAAAGGAATGTTTTCATGTAGATTTATATACATGGGCATTTGCCTTAAAATAAAGAGATTTAAAAATAGTTTTCTGCAGAAGTAGGAATAGGTAAAGAATGAAAATGACAACTCAAAGTTAGAGCAGAGAAAGCATTATTCAGTAGACAGTTGAGAGGAATATAGTAATAAATTCAGAACCCTATCTTTTTTTATTTTAGGGAAGGGTCTACAGGGTGTTAAGGGTCTTACAACTAGATCAGATTCATAGTAATCCTCCTGTTTACAGCCTCCGAGGAGCTGGAAATTACAGGGGCAATCCACCACACCCAGTCTCAGTTGCCCTACCAGCACACCCTGGGGACAGGGCCAGCACAGCAGGCCTGGGGATCAAACCCCCAGGCCCTGCGCCTGCTTGCCTGTACTTTAATCCGCTGAGCTATTTGGCCAGCCCTTGTTAACCCTATCTTATTGTTTAGAAATTCTTTCATTTCTCAATGATTATAAATCATTCACATACATTATTTGTGAGTCATGTCTACTATATTTTGTAGAACAATCATCGCTTTTAAAAATTAAAGTTTATGCATGTGAAAACAAGCATATTTCATGTGTTAATAAGTTGTTAGAAAAACAGCAGACAAAAAGAATGGGCACAGGATGTGTGTTTTAGGGGCAGCTGCTTTGCATAGGGTGGTGAAGAGCACTGCCTCATAGACTGAAGGAAACAGAGGGTCCAGACCCCTGTGAGATACAGGAGGAAGTCCCAAGGTGGAGCCACACTTAACAAGCCTGAGGCAGCATGGTGCAGTCAAAAAGGTAGAAGGACAGCTGAGAACCAAAAAAAGTGGGACCTTCAAGCTTGTACTCAGTATGAGATTTTTTGAGCACAGGAAAGCCATGATCTGGCTTATGTTTTACGAAAATGTTTCACTAACTACTCTGTGGACAGTGAAGGAGTTACAGGACGTCACACAAAAGTCTGGAACAGTGAGAAATGATTATGGTTGTTCATGATAAATGAATGCTTCCAGATGTATTTTGAATGTGGGGTAACAGAATTGGGTGACTAATTAATTGTAGGCCATCTATAAAAGGGAGGAATCAAGTTGAACTCTAAAGGCTAATAAAAGAGATCCAATATCATTAACCTTAATTTGTGCAAAGAAATACATCACACACACACACACACACACACACACACACACACACCCTACACATACTATAAAATGATTTATAGTAAACAACTAATTTAAAATGCCCAACATTCACACGAAAAGTATCCAGCACTTATGTGTCAGGTAAGACCGAAACATAAGTATTCGACAAATATTAAATTCTTTGGTGATATACAGCACTGTCAAGGTTGTGCAGAAACATACATTCTCATATATTACTGAGCAACAGTTTATTTTGAGATGAGTTCTAAGGAATATTGGATAAAGTGTTTCTTTTGGACAAGAAAAGAACTTTGTATGTGAAAAGAATACATCTATGTTTTTCTGTTCATTGTTTGCACTTTCTATTGTGAATGCATAACTTGTTGCAGTTTCAGTGAGATACAAGGGCCGTGTTCAAACATCTTCTTGCATAATGTTTCGGGGCATTGAACCTAGGATCTTCTCACTGAGCTCCAGCACCAGCTCTTCCCCCACCACTTTCTCTTGTAGAGACAAGGTCTGGCCAAATTGCTAAGTTTCCAATATATGCATTACCACAGCTGGGTAATAATGCTTGTTTTAAGACTCATTTGCATTTGAAAAGAATAACAATTTCATAAATTAAAACTAGAGACATAATATGAAAATATATATTTTAAGCCAGGGAGTGGAGATTGATTATCATCCAAATGCAATTGGCAAGAATATAAAATACCGGCATGAATTTCAGGGAATATAATTTATGTTGTCTTGCTAAGTACATGTGCCCACTTTCATCTCCTGCCTCAGCAGAGATAAGAATGATTCTGAATTCTAGACCTATTCAGACAGGACTGCAGTATTCTGAGGCTGTTTGACAATTTGTACTAATAGTGTTTGGACAGGATATCATTTCTGCATCTTGTACTATGAATAACCACTACGGAGACAACAATCTGCAATGTATTAATTATTGAAAATGTCCTAATAATCTGTTTTTAAGCTGTCTCATTGCTATTTGTCTCTCAATAAAATTAATTAAAAAAAGATACCTACATTTTCTCAACCTATATTTTCTTAGAAGACCCTTCTGGGTTACTATACATGTTAATGGAATGATAAATACAGGATATCACTAGTACAGTTCCTGACATAGAATAAGGTTTCCAGGAAATAATACTGCTCGTGCAGTGTGTCAAATTGGGATGGTCGAGAGCATGCCTAGCCTCTAGTGTCTACTTGCTTCTTCATTCCAAACTTTAATTGCTGTGAATACTTGAAATTTCTGATAATAGCAGAGGTGAATAGTTGTGGGGTAGTAAGGAAGTAACAAGATAACTAGGAAAGAGGCCACCTCAATTATCTGTCTCCCTTGTTACTTTAAAATTCTGGGTCAGAGCCCTGCTCAGCTCTGCATGGAAACATCTGAGCATTTATGGCGTCTTTGATCAGTACAAGATTTACTAGCCCTCAACTCAGTCTCTCTCATTCCCATTCCAGGCCATGGATACCAACAGAAGAATAATGAAGATAATAGAATTCTCAGGGACATGTAGTTGTCAGCTTTTATAACATCCAATACCAGACCCCACTGAAGTAAGATCATCAAACCTCAGTCTTCTCAGATACCAAAAAAGCAGAGACTTGGAGACCACTACAATCAGATTACCTCTCCTGAGCAGGAACAATTACCTGATGATGAGAATTAAGGCAGCGCCTATCCCAGGCAAGAACAATTATCTCCTGGGGAACCAAATTGTGTCTCAAAACATAAGATTCTGCTGAGGCTATG